TTTTTTCTGTGATTTTATCCTCAATCCGGTAGGAGAGCGGACCAAAAATGTCCATTCTCACATTTTCGAAAGGATAATGTGGTTTCACCACTCGCGTTTTGGGTAGAATAGGAAATGGTGGAAGCACAAATGGTTTGGCGCATATTTTTCGCAATGAAAGCAATCATTGGAGATCACTTTTTTGACGGCTGAGCCTCCTTTCGGAATCCATACTCTTTGTCTAGTTCCGTTAAAAAGTGTGATTAACCCAGCAATGATTATTGGTCGTATGCGTATGAAGGATGAAGAGCGAGGTGATTCGATTTTTGATAGGGAGAAATGTTGGCGTAGTAGCTTCTTGCGCTAGTAGAGCGTTTTCAGTGCGTCCTTCTAATCTCCACAGAGATGTCATCCTACAACGAAACAGGTGTAATTGTTTTATATGATCACATGACGGTGGATCTTGATTTTGGGCAAGACGAAATAGAATGATTTCCGCTCTGGTATGAAGTATTGCTCCAGTTGTTCCAAAATGTTTTGCCGCTTTTCCGGAATTTGACACGAGAAAGCGTAGGACGAAAACGACTGTTAGCTGCAGTAAGTTCCAAGTACTGAATCTGGATGTGTCAATAAATAATGGGAGACTCTCCGTCTTCGTTGTTGTTGTACGCAATGTGAGTGGTAGCGATACCAAAGGAGTTTGAGTTTCCGTTGTTTTGCATCGTTGTTGCCCAGATGGAAGAGTGCTTCCTTCAGCAGTCCTTTGAGGGGTGGGAACCAATCTAATTTATCTTGAGTGAGGATTTCCGGGCCATGCCACCACAGTGAGGATTGTGATAGTTCTATTATAGTGGCTCCCCGAGAAGCGATATCCGCGGGGTTCCACTCCGTGGGGATATATTTTAGCGTGACGTCGAAGGTCAGTTCTTGAATAACTTTGGTTCTGTTTCGCACAAAAACAGGGAGTTTTCCGACTTTGCCCCCAATTCAGAGCAATAGTGCTTTCGGACCATAGGAACTTTTCACTTACGTAGACATCTAACTGCTTGGAAACGAAGTTGATAATTTAGCTCCTATGACGAGAGTTAATAGTTCCGTCGTGGTATGGCGACTGATTGACACAAAGGAGCTAGTCGTAATTTTGACATGATGAAGGTACCTTATGCGGAGGCTTTACGAAGTGCTGGACAACATATGCTGTTGCACGAAAGGCGTTCTTTGAAGCGTCGGTGAATGCATGAAGATCAAACTGCATGGTTGAATTGTCGCAGTTTTCGAGTATCCAGTGTAGGTGATGTCCAGATAGGCAAGCTCTTTTCACTCATCGAGCTTTTCTTTCGGTAATGGATGGTCCCATTTGAGTTCTATTTTCCGTAGAGACTGGAGGAATATATTTCCGAGGAGTGTGACAGGAGTGATGAAGCCTAATGGATCGTAGATGCTGGCTACTTCTTTTAAGATTTTCCTTTTGATCTAGGTGATATCTTCTGGCGGTGTTTGGTGGATATTGATGAATAATTCATCAGTGGAAATATCCCAGTGTATTCCGAGGAGTTTCTGGACTGCTGTGATTTGGCATTTTTCCTTGGTTATAAAAAAATCGTTGAGCTCAGGAGAGTTGCTGACGTATGTGCGTAGGTTCATTCCTGCTTGGATAAATAGCTCTCTGGAGTCGCTGTAGTAAGTCATGACTTCTTCGATGCTTGTGACTGCATGAAAGACGTTATCAACGTACTATTTCTTAGAAGATCTTAAGACAGAGAATTTGCCAGTGTAGTCAGATGATGATGGATGGTGCTAGAGTAGAGGAATGGAGAGCATATGAGGCTGAACAGGACTTGCATAAACCTGTAAGTGATGACATTCCTGGAAGAATGGTTTGGACACATCATCCAGCCATCAGAAGCGAGTGTAAACCCTGCAGTCGATGAAGGCCTACCATCAAAAATGCCTTTTCAACATCGCTGGTGATCAAAATCATCGGAAAATGGCAGCGTATCAAGATCCCCATAAGGTTTGAAAGTAGTACGGGTCCTCGGTATAAAATCTCGTTTATATTCGAACTTCCTTTCAGTTTTGCTGAACCGTCGAATACGCAGCGAATTTCCAAATTTTCGCTGGATTGCTTGATTACGCCATGATGCAAAAGGTAATGAGAGTGTTTTGGTAAATCCATTTTCGGGACCTGTTCAATGATTCCTCGTTCGAGCTGCTCCTTGAAAATCTTGTTATATTCTTCCATATAGCTTGTTTCTGCCCAAAGATTTTACTAAGCTACTCAATCTGGAGTATGCTATGGTGTAGTTGTCCGGTAGGGTAGATAAAGTGTTGTGCATACCACGAGCGATATTTGAGTCAGTCCACCGAATTCGCTATACTCATGAGCAAAAGCTACTGTATTAAACTTCATTAATGAAATGAGCACTGCCATATCTGTCTCTCTTCATAAAAGTGTCTCACCTTATCACATTAACTTAAAGTTACTTTCACTTTCCATTCCATCTTAACTGCAAGCTACTTTGGAGGTTTGCTCAAAATTAAGTCATTTATTCTAATTTCGTAATACTTTTCCTTTTTAAACAGCAAACAACATCATTCTTTTCAACGATCTTCACACAATGACAATCGTTTCGATTACAACCAATAAACATTGAACACGGTTTGGCTAGATTGTGTGTCCGTAATCGCAGGGGAGCTATTGACAATGCAAAATACTAACATCTACATGTAACATGTCATTTAGTCCATACTAGAGAGTATTGGAAGTGCATAGCATCTGACAACGTTGTACGAAGAAGGGAAACTTCGAAATGCGAATCGTGAACAAAGATAAATGTTATAGCAAAATTAAGAAAAAGGGGAAACTTCGAAATGCGAATCGTAAACAAAGATAAATGTTATAGCAATTTATTGTAGCTTTATTTTTTAAAAGGTATACACTTCATCTGGCTCTTCCATAAATCTCGCCATATGAACTAATTTTAGATTTGTTTGAAACTTCGCTCAAGCGGTTAGTGTGGACCGCAACTTGCAGCTGCATTTTACAGTGGAGGTGGCATAATGGCATACGATAGGAGGTCGGAACGAGAAGTTCGTTCAAAGTTTCAGCGAAGGGGAAATCT